GGGGGGGGGGCATTAAGGCACTCTAAAATCAGTTCGACGATTTGCCTTTATTTTTCACACAAGAAAGCTATGCATGAGATCACAAAATAGAACATTCAATAGAAAGTATTGTATGACATGTAGGCCTGTAAAATTTAGTTTTAAAGCCTTGAAACATCGAAGGTATAGAGATGTGTCTCGACACTTGGGATTACTGTGATGTTGGTAGGATTAAAAGTCTGGGGTCTACAACTTATTTCAATTTCCATTGAACGGAATAGCATGCGAAACTCTATGTATGTATTTATGTAGGTATGTAAGTATGTGTATATCTATGTGCATTATGCAGAATAGTTACAGAACAGACCTTTAAATTAATTAAGGATAGATGCAAAATATTACAATGTAAGTGATGACTGCGATAGTAGGATGATAAACACGACTAGATGGATATTCATTAGGCATACAGGCAATCTGACAATCCTATTCACTAATTTTTTGATAAATTAGAACCTGACAAGATATTTTCCATAAATAATCAAATTGTTGAGAAACTACAAATACTGACTTGTATTACATTCAATAAAAACAAATTGAAGGGCCCAAGACTCAAAGTAGATCACATTTATCACAGGGAAGAGGACAATCTAGGTTTCAATCTGTAACAATACAGTAGTTGCATTGTGACAGGGTTCACAAAAAGATCATGGTGCACTAAAATTATTTAAATGTGATTTGATGATTAAGTGAAGGAAAAACAAAGGATTCAGCTTAAATGCATAGGACATAAGATCTTTCTTACCAATCTATGAAAACAAATACTTAAAAGATGCCTTTGGTAGTTGCACGGTTAAATAAAGTATACAAAAGACAAGATAATTAAAAATACTGGGATGAGAAAACATTGTTTACAAATGTAAAATATAATGATTTTCTTGTGTTCTCTAACATAACAAAGAAAGTTTCAGTAATTTGAGTCCAGCAAGTTGTTTGACCACACATCAAAAATAATGTTGATTCCTCCAAGAGAAGACATTAGAAAATAGCAGTGCCTACATAATTTTTAGTCTGCAGCATGTGTGTTCCTCTGACTAAGAAATACTCAATAGGATACAGAACATCAAAATAAATGTGGCAAATAGATGTTGGGCGAGAGTATCACAGATAAGAGGACAGTCTTCATAAAATAGAGGAAAGGGAGGAAATTTATGACTTTAAGTACTAAAGATCTGTACACAAGGAACCTGGTACCAGACTAAGTTGTTAATGCAGATGCATCATTACGCTTTTGCATCAATAGAACCTTAGACATTAGCAGCCTAGGGAAAAACACACACTAAAATGGAAATACGGATATTGCTTTAGCCGAGTCTAGTGATATATTGTGGATTAGTTAAAGTGTAATAACTGTGAATAAACATGCGATAAAAATTTGCTGCAACACTTGCCTCTAATACTATAAAGAAAGAAAGCATCGAGATCATAAATTATTAAGATTCAGTGCAATAAATACATGTGTGGAAAGAAACACAGAAAATTTTTTCATGAATTACAAGAGTTTGTAAAGACAAATATTTACAAACTGCAAGTGACTCCAAAATATTGTGCTCCTTATTTAAAGCTTTTTACCCACAAACTTTTCAGTATCAGGTACTGAAAAGTGGTAAGAATGGAATCAAAATAAAAGAATTGAGGAGAAGATTTCGCTCTCGGGATAGAAACATGGGACAGAAAGTGTATTTTCTCCTCCACCTATCCCAGAAATCCACAAGATCACAATAACCTGGTAATTGTCTATACTATATTATTAAAAACTACTGATTGACCAAAATCTTATCAAACTAATATTTTGAGAAAAAAATCAAATCAATAGTCGGGAAGTTGGTTTAACAGTAAATTGCATCACATTAATATGAAGGTTACCCTTTAGATTACAAAAAAATACTGATAGATATACTATAATTCTAGTAACTAGCTTTTGCCTAGAATTAAGAGAACAAAATAGAGAAGGTAAAACTCATCCTTCTATTTTTTCTGACACTTTGTGTATTGCAATGTTGAAAAGCCAATGAGAAGAGCCTGGCTAATTCACAAAATAACCTGCCCTATGATCCAATTTTCATCTTGCAAGAGAAATCAAGTGCAAGCATAGTGCAGTGGATAATAATATGTCATATTCTACCGCAGTAATATGAACATAATTTAGATGAGAAAAATGTCTAATACACTTTCCATCATAACTTTCAACTCCTTGGGAATTTTTATCAGTCCCATCAGTCTCGGTCTTGGTTTGCACACAGGAACCACAATAGATACTGTACTGTGAATTAGATCAGTACTGCATTGTAGATCACTAGGTCAGATTAATGCACAGAATATCACACTAGAATTAATCTTAAAATTATTTTTCTATAAGTTGTATGAGTACACACACAATTAAACTGTTAATGTTTGTGAAAGAAGTCTACAAACTAGTAACAATCCTGTTAAGAATAGTAATCAAAATCAGATTAAAATTGGACCACTAGCTTGCAGGATGATACAGGATCATCAACATGATTTGGTCAATATTGCTATAAATCATAATCAGAGGTCAGCTGTAAGTTATTAACTTAACTTAGAGGTTGGCCCATACTTTTTCTTACATCTGAAAATATTATATTACCCAAGTAAAGTAACAATTTAAAATAGGATGAAATGTTTAAGAGACCTGTCTTAAGAATAAGATGATCCACAAATGAAATGTGCTTTTTTACAAAACTCTTTTGCATCACAATTCAGTAGTAGTTCTTACATCCATCTGTATCACTTTGACCGTAAGAAGTACAATAAATTAAAATATTATGAATACCTTCATAATTGTCACCACAAAGTCATATTATTAAAACATCAGCGATCCATAATTACAGTACCCTTGCAATGTATTGCTCCAGATAATTCCCCAACTGAGCACCAAATTCACAACCATGTACTCAAGGAACGAACAGTGAAAAAGAATTGAATAAATTATGAACACCAGTTGCTTCATGGATTTAAAATCAACTTCCTTCAATACAGGTTCATTAACGAACGTAGGCAAGTAAATAATACTGCACAACACTGTCAAGAAAACCAACAATTATGAAACAACAAGTTGCCTTTATTGTTATAGGTAGGCATTCCAATGCCAATGTACTGTATTGCTTTGATTGTGTTTTATTGCACAATTCAAGTATTGCCTTTATTTGACATTTCATTTGTCAAAAACTACTTTTTAATACTCTGAAAAATGAACAGTTATTTGTTCTGATGAAATAAAAGGGAATGTTGTGTAGGCTGTCACAACTTAAAGAGACAAGGATGGTGCTAAACAATAAAATATGTTCTCTTAAGTAGTAAGATCCCTCACAGCCTGCAAGATCCTTTTAACATGCCCAACTTTGGTCACCCCTAATTCTTTTAGATCTCTTCGTGCCAATGTGAGAAGTTCTTTGCCACGAATATCATGTACTGTAAATGAATCAATATATTCACCAAGCTGCAGTGATTCAAGCCATGATGCCACTTCTGATGTGCCCCATGTAGCTACATCTGCGGCAGTTTGGCGACTGCGTTCTCCGTGGGTGGTACGCTCTCCTCTTCTAAACCGAAGCCAGAAGAGTCCTCTTGCTTTTCCTTTCCTTTCACCCTATAGACACAAGAAAACACAAGTATAACAATTTTTTCTCTTGAAGAGCAAGTATCACAAAAAACTGACCAATACTCATACCTCTCCAGGTGGTAGTTGATGTAGAGTAACACAGCCATCATCTATGTTGCATTTTCGCAATTCTACTTCCATATTTGCTAGAGCCGAGCTAAGTTGTCCCTCAAGATCCTCTCGCAACCGCTACAAAAATTAATAAAATTTGTAAGAATAGAATATTTTTAATTAAAATTTCAAACCAACAGGATATTGTACTATGAGGCTGATAATATATTGGTTTCCATTACCAGTTGATGAGCTTTCTCTCTGAGAAGTTGGCAGGATTCTTCATGTAATTGTCTAGCACTGGCAACCAGCCCTGTTACTGCAGGGCGCAACTCAGTCTAAATTGTAAAAAGAAAGTGGTTATTGTCAAAACTCACTTTTGTGTGAAAATCATTGGACATTTAAATGTAACAACAAACATCAAAATCGTGCACTTACGCCTGCCAAAAGTTTTCCTCCCGGATGAACATTTTCCAAATTGTCGTGAGTCTTAGCAGCTAAATCATAGAGGTCAGCTTCAATAGATGGGTGACGAATTGTCAGCAATTTAACACATCTGCAAGATAACATAAGCTAAGTATCAACCTGAGAGAAAAAAATCATCAAATTTATGGCACTTTCTTATCCTTGAGACAGACGCACCTCACTAGGGTGGTTGATGCATCAATGAACCCAAGAAGCAAGGCAAGTTCTTCTTCATTGAATGGAGCAAGCCGATCATGAGGAGTTAACCCAGTGGTTGGATGAGGCATATGTGAGCGTTGTTTTTCTTCCCAGGCTCTTAGAGATTTCTCCAATGCACTATTGCGACAGAGCATTTGCATTCTATTTTTATGGATTATACGTATCATGCCAGGGGGTTGCACCCATGCTTCACCATCAACTTGAATAGGAACCCCTTCATCTCCTAAAAGTATACCAAATAATGAGATTTCAAAATAGATTTTGAGAACACCAAACATTTGACTCATCTTGAATCTTACCAAGTATATTAATTTGGACAGTTTGACATTGTGCTATCCTGTGATGCTGGAGGTTAATGAGACGAGAAGCTGCCATTTGCATGGATCCGAAAACAGCAACAACCTCCAAAACTCGATCATCAAAACTTGGAGCTAAAAATACATCATCTTCTTTGGATCCTCCCCAGAAGTTTGTTCCACCCATAAAGCTAAAATTTAAATTTAAAAAAAATCAATGAATAATTAATGTAGGGTTGTGGTTGTTAATAGATTAGATTAATTCCTAAAAATATCTCAACAAAGGAATGAAAGAACACACCTTGGGATATTTAAAATCACAATGCCTTGCAATGAAGGCAGAGGTATTTTTTGTCCATCACATTCCAATTGAACCCTTTGATCCAAATTTTTGTAAGTTTTCTGAAAACACAGAATATCTTATAAGTAAAATAACAATCCCTTTCTATGCTGTTCAAAACTAAATTATTTAGAATTTACCTGTAGCCACTCTTTGCTGCCTAGCACACCATACCAAATGTAATTCTTTGCTCTAGATCTGCACTTTTCAGGGTGTTCTTCCCTTTTGTGGTGGAAGTCAAGGGATATTTTTGCATCAATTCCAATACCAAAATAATTGTTCATAACACACCTTTCAAAGAATCCCTCTCTATAAAAATGAAATAGGATTTTATTATGGCATACTTTAACTATACTTAAGCAAAATAAGTGTTGGTAAATGTAACTGGTTGCTTACAACAAGGTTTCATCTGGATCCATCAAAGGAGATGCAGCAGCACAGAGGGCATCAGCATTTGCCAGAAGAGCCTTGCTAATCATTCCAGCACTGCTGACATCTAGAATTACAAAGGAAAAATAATGTTTAGATTATAAATTCATGTGTGCTAAAATTGGAAAGCATTAAAGTATAAACCAAAACATACTTGGCCACATGGGGAGTCTAACTAATGGGTTGATAATTGGCAACTTCTTTGCTTTTGGTACTGTCCCAGTCTCTCCGGCACCAACAGTTCCGATTGCACCAGTCTTGGCGGATACAGATGCCATAAGATCAATACTGACTTGCAGATCCCTTTCTACTGAGCTACGGAGGCGATCACGGAACGGCTGTCTGGGGCCTGGAGTGGAATCATCTTGAGATAAGGACCGATCTCCAGATTCTGTTGGTACTTTGAGGAGGCTACCGCTGGAAATTCGTCGGCTAGCAGCTGGCGAACAGCGCCACAGTTGTTGTGGTGAGGCTGTTTAAGTAGACAAAGAGCAAAAAAATAAATCTCTGGAAAACTAAACTTTGAGCGGTGATTTAATTTAGGAGTAAAGTACAGACCTTTACCACCAGCGCTATCGCAGCTATATCGGCGGTACGGGTTGTCGTCAAGTGACTGATGCTTATCCTCCTCAGATTGTGTAGGAGATGGAGGATCAACAACAACACTTATCACTGGATGAGGAAATCCCCTCTCCTTCGCTCTTCTTATGGGGCTAAGCATCTGTTTAAAAAGAAATTGCAAAATAATTATTGTGAAAAAGAATTAAACACAATGCATGAGTTCTCAGACATATTTCATATTTTAGAAAACTGTACCCTTTCTTTCTCTTGATACATAGCTGAAGATGCTGCTATACTTTTACGTTGCAGATGATAAGGGGAAAGTATATGTAAGGTACTCCCACCGCCACTTCCACTTGTGTCGCTATCGTGGCCAGTTGTCAAATTGTTATTTGATCCTTGTATGTGAATCTGAATTTGATCATTTTCGGGATAGAAACACCCTGTACTACTTCCTGTGGTACTTGCTGCAGAAGATGGTGGAGTAGGAGTAGGACCACCTCCTAAGCTGTGACTGCGGTTGTATCGTCCTGCCTCAGGTACATTAAGACTTGACAGCAAGCTGTGAATACCATCTCCTGTTTCAGGTTCAGTCTTTTTGTCCTCTGGAGAGGGATCCCGGGAATATACTTTGAAACCCTGCAAGCAAAAAGTATGACAATAAAATTCTAGGTACACAAATTGAAATGGTAATTTGTGTAATTAAGGAATAAGTATTTGTCTATTACCTTCAAATAGGGATCCATCTCATCAGATAGGTTCCCAATGCTAGATGCAGGAAGAAGTTCATCTTCAAAGTTTTCATCAATATTAAGTACAGGAACATCTAGTCTGTTTTCTTGAATTTGCTCACAGATGTGAACTTTGGTTTTATGGCGAGCTTCTGGTCTTCTTGTTGCTATGTGACGACATTTAATGGAGCGCCTCGCAATGTCATTACCTTCAACAAAATGAGCTAATGTGCACTTAGCAGCTGGATCTGTTCCATCTTCTGTGTACTGCGCATGCCCACTCAATCCAATAGCAAACCGGACATCATCCTCAGATTCATTCTCCTCCCCTGAAGTAACGAATGGATCAGTACAATCACCATACTCTGATCCATCAATTCCAACAAGTTGTTTTGCAGCATTGTGCAGAGGGGGACACTGAAATTTCACAGAGGAGTCCTTGATTGAGTTCTCCATGCCTATTGGTATTTTAATAGAACCTTCTGCACTTTCTTCAGATGTCTCTGAGGAATCAATATGTTTGATGTCTGCAATTTCACTACCTTCCAGGGCCAAGCATCTCCAAACAGGATCTTCACCACTATCTACACTGTGACGGCCTCTGTTAGGGCGCTTACATTTTTCAAACTTCACTGAATTTACTTCTTTATCAGTTGTAGTACCATCAGTGCTAAATCCACCAAAGCTAAACCTGCGATTCGGATCATCAACAACCTGAAGAAAACTATCTTCAGCACCAGCTCTTCGGACCTTGTTGGTACAAATTGCTTCTGAACTCAATTCTGGCAGTATTGGAAGTCTGTTGGGTTCTACTCTACTGTGCAAATCAGCATTTCTTCCTGGATTGTTTTCAATCACCCCAAGGGCCTTTCTTTTTGGGTCTAGAACTTCCTGCTTGGACTCTTCGCCATCCGGTGGCTGGAGGGAACTCCTGTGGCTGAGTGTACCAAAACAATCTGATACACTGAAAACAAAGGGGTCAATATAACAATAATAGAAAACAACTATTGATAGCAGTAATGATAATGGAGAAGGACTCACCTTTCAACAGACATAGCTGAGCTTCGCCTTCTGTCAGCAAATTCCTTTGGAACAGGGATTGGTAATAAATCTTCACCCCCAGAGTCCCTCCTCAGGTCAGGAAGGGGTGACAATGTTGCCAGACGAGAACCTAACAGTGCGGGTGATGGACAGCGACTGCCATCAGAGCTCGAGCCTGAGTCCAGTCCATGATTCACTTTTAAGGTATCCATGGCTGGTTTTGATGCCTGCTTATTATGGTCGTCTACAGCCTGCTCAGTAGCTTCCACTAGTTTTCGTACAGCTTTTTTGAGACTATTAGCTCTCAACAGAAGTTGCTGACGTTTGTTTGCATCCAGCTGTAAATAAACATTTATTAGTAATGGTTCACAATAATTAATGATTCAGAGAGATTTATTATTAAAAATGTTACTTGAAGTTGGTGATTTCCTTGGTTCTTCTCTGATTTCTCTAAAGACGCCTTCTCATCATCATGCAAACAAGGCTCATCATCTTCAAATTCAGGGTGAAGAAAATTGAGCTCTTCCTGGCCCAGAGTATGCAGAAGCTGGTCCAATTTCTCCGGGACAACCTTACATTGCTGACCAAAATCCCTCTCCGCTTTACCCAGGCTCGGTTCCGTGAGTTGCAGGGCATAGCACTTCAGTCTATCACAAACAGACCTGCGGAAGAATAGCGATGGTTATATCAAGAGGGTCGATCACTAGCCCTACGCATGCGTGAGTGTGCGTGTGTCACACACAAATCAAACAAAAATTACGATTTTTTTTTAGTGGGATCCTTTTCAACGGCACTATACAGGGTTGTAAAATAAAGCGTTTGAAAGCCCGTGATAAATAGATACCAGTGGATAATATTTTTCGCCGTGGTTTGCCAACTATAGCGTCTGGAAAGCTTCAAATCAATCGGGGCCTCAATTACAGCGCCGGAAGATGCGTACCCCACTCATGACGTAAATAGTGGACGCACGCGTATGGTGCTCAGGGTACTCACTGCGCAGAGCTGATGATGACGGGGATGTCGTCTGACTGGAGGATCTTGGAGGCGTGGTAAGTGAATGAGTCGTCGTATGCAGCCATGACCGACGAGGACATGGGGGGAGAGACCTGCGTGGTGAACTGCAAGTTACCGGTCCCAATCGATATGTTCCGTTCGAACGCCATGATGCTCCACCGGTCGAGCATCTTGGTGCAGGCCTTCTCGTACTGCTCCAGCAGCTGGGGTAGCATGGTCTCGTCGTCGCAGGAGGAGCCCCAGCCGAGGACTCTGGCCAGGTCATTGCCCGTCCCTAAGGGCAGCACGCCCACTTGGCACTGTTTCTGTGAGAGAGGGGGAGAAAAGAACCATGCATAAAACTGCCGTCAATTCAGGCGCCCAGCAGAGCCAAGCAAGATAGCACGACGACACACGACACCCACATGCATGTTGAGGCGGTCGATCTCGGACAGGACCCAGCCCACCGACCCGTCCCCGCTGCAGATCAGGATGCGGAAGGGGTCGAAGTGCCGAAAAAGACGGAGGCTGCGTGACAATCAAATCAAAACCAAGACTTAAAAAAACAAAACAAAAAAAACTAAAAAATAACTATTATTTAAAAGATAAACCGATGGAAAGTGAAAACAAACACCAATTTTATGTAGCAGAGGAATGGTTGCAATAGGGTGGATGAGAGAACCACTGTAAATCGTCAATACAAAATAGCTGGTGGCAGACTCGCGCCGCGCACTCTCGTAAATGTACTGTGTCGTCTGTGTCGTATGCACGCGTGCGGGTGGGTTGCCCACGCGCACGGGGCCATAAGGTGCAGCGAGGATAGGCAAAGGCAAACCCGCCCGCGCCCGTGCATGCGGCACAGTACGACAACGAAAGTGCACGGCGCGAATCAGCCATCTGGTATATTGTACATTTACAAATATATATTTTTTTCAGAGTGGACACTCACCCCAGGCCTGGGCCGGTGCCGATGAGGTCAAACACCTGCGCCGGGTTGAGGAGCTGCTTGAAGCGTCGCAGGAAGCGGACGCCCTGGTTGTCGCCCGACTTGGAGTTGACGAACACGAGCAGGGGCGAGCAGCCCTGCGGACGCACCGCCTCCCAGGCCTCGTCCGTCCCTGCGGGAGAGACGGAAAACAAAACATTTCCTTGTATCATCTTTATGACGCCGAAAGCGAATCTCACTTCTAGTTTGGCTGGCGGGCGCTTCCCCAGCCCAGACGACGTAAACAAGTCCCTGGGCGGGGCGGGTGCGACCGACAGAGCAGTGCGTCTCCGCCCCGCCCCGCCCGACATCTTGATTGTTTGCTCCTCAGTCGGCAGCGAGGGGATGTTCGCCCCTCTCCCCCCATTCCGCGCCGTGGTCACGTCGCGTCTCATGTAGCGGAAAGGAGAAATATGAGAGAGCGAGAGAGCGAGTGCGCGAGACGGCGGCGGAGCACGGGAGAGAGTGAGAGTGAGTGAGAGCGAGAGAGCCATGCCGCTGCGCTGACCCCGATATAAATCCGGCGGCGGCGGCGTGGCGTGGCGTAGCGCCGAGGCGCCTCGTCCCCAACCGTGTCCACACATTTCTCATGCTCAAGAAAAGAAGAACCGGGAGGAAAAAAATAATAAAAATAATAAAAAGGACAGCGCCGTATCTCGCGCAGAGAGAGGCAAGTTGAGGGGGGTGTTTGAACCCGAGAACGACGTGGCGGAGCGAAAGAGAAATAGGGGGTAAGATGAGAGGGGAGGAGGGGGGGGGAGACTAAATGCAGGAAATGGAATCAAGGGTCCGCGTAGATGACATCAAAAGCGAAGAGAACAGCGCAGGAGAAGAGAAGAGGAAGCCGCCACGCTGCCGGCCGAGCCGAGCGCCGAGCGCCTTTGGTGCGCTTGAGCGCCTGTCCGCAGCAGCGCGGGCAGGCCCGTGGAGCACGCGCGCTCGCCGGGCCGGCCTACCCCCCGGGCTGACCAGGTGCCTCGCGCCGAGCGGAGCGGCGGGGAGCGGGGCTCTCCCCCCGGCCACTCTCACGCGAGTGGGGAGAGCGGCCGGAGAGCGGCCCGAGAGGGAAGACCAGACGCACCCACCCCGCGCGAGTGGAAGCTCTTGGAAGCGGAAACGACGGATGACAGGAGAAGAGAGAAAAAAATGCCGAGGAGAGGGACGGACAAATGGGGCGCTCTGGGAAAATGCGGCGCGATCTGTACCGTCTCTGCCGTCCGTCCGTCCGTCTCAGCCTCTGTGTCGCTCATTCGCGCGCTTCGTTTCATCGACACAGAAAGATGGACATTCCGTGTGACGGGGGACGGATGGGCGGTCCGACCGTCCTTGCGATGGGACACGGATACGTGTGACGAGACAGGCCCGGCGAGGTGGACGGGGAGGGGAAAAGGGGGAGTCCTACTCTGATGTTGCAAGAAGAGTGTGACGAAAATTCCACGCTCGTCCTGTACTCTTGCACACACTGTGAAAAATAGTTGTAGGTTTTACGGGAGAAATTTTTCTTGAAACGTGTCGTTAAATAACAATTCAAAATTGTAAAACTACAAGCACTATGTATCGACTTGGAAGTCGTTGACAAGCAAGTTTTAAGAGTCAAAAATTTACAACATGAGTTTGTAAATATTAATTACAAAATATATCGTAAATTAACGACGACATTTTTCGCAGTGCAAGGGTGGGAAAACTCCCACGCTTATGACTATTAATTATGGAGAGAAACAGACCAAATTGAACACACTTGCAAGTTTTTAACTTGCGGTGTTGTGTTGTACACTCATTGAAACCCAGGAAAACAGTATCTCAAACACTCCGTTATTAACTGAGCAGTGTACACTGTTAATAATACTGTAAGGAAGTACAGTTTGCCTACGGTCCTTCCTGTATATTTTATGTACGGGCCGGACCATAAAGATATGGACCGTAAGTCAAGTGCTGTATTTCCCAAAAAGATGGATTGCGAAATCCTAGGGAGTGGACCGTAATCCAAAATTACAGTCGCGCACCTGTTAACAAATTGACATGGCGCACTGAGGACATTTCCTGTAGTTTTTTCTAACAGTGCAATTTCACCATTTGTGCAGCACGCAAACCGATATGCTTTAAAAAAGTTATACACGCTACGTGACGTGCTGTTGGTGATTCGCATGTGATATGGGTCGCATGGATTGCCATCATGGACAGAGCAATATTCATAGCCTTGTCAGATGCGATTTGAGCGTTTTGACCAGGATCGAACAGGAAAAAAGAAGAAGAAGAAAACAGCACACGCTGAACATGCCGCGCGACAACAACGGCCAAAGCGCAACCACACCGCGCCATCGACAGGGGGTTTGCGATAGTATTCATACAAAATCTTGCCATAAATAATGGTTTGCGATTCCCATTTATTCATCGCTCGCAAGATACGACAGCTCGCTTAAAGCGATCGGACTCTTTGTATAAGTTTACAAGGAAAACACGGAACAAAACAATGTTTGCTTTTTGGTGAGAAAAGGAAAAATTTGAGGAACTCCCATATTTAAGGGAAACTCCTCAGATCTCGCCTCAAATCTCGAGGAACCTATTCAAAAAATGAGGAGAAATCCCATATTTTTTTAATGGGACTTCCTCGAAATCAGAAGAGCTCTCAAGGAACCAAGGGAGCTCGTCAAAGTTTCCTCCTTTTCCCTAAAAAAATCAGACATTGTTTTTAGCGTGATTGCTTTGTAAGATTTTAAGAGTGCAAAATTGTCAGACGGTGGTGACGATAGGGAGTAAAAAAAAAGTCAGAGAGAACACGGGTTCCGGTCGTAAGGAGGCGCGGGTCGAGGCGGGTAGTGGCGTGGCGTGGCGCGGTGGGGTTGACGGATGGGACGTCACTGGACGACGGATGGGGGGGGACGTCGCCCGATATTGTCTCGGGCTGATCGGGAGATGAGCCGAGGTGGTGGGAGGGGTCATGACAAGCAAGACGCGCGGACGGAAAGGTCACAACGATCAGCGAGCCGATCGGACAGGGAGAGGGAGCGGGAGAGAGAGGGACAAAGACATGAGAAAACAAAAAGAATCCTTTACGGACGCGTCCAGCGAGCGTGGGGTTTAGTGTCCGCCTCTAAATTGCAAAAATAATAATAATACTTGCAGTTGGAAATGTTCCAACGCACCAAAATTGTGGTAAAACCACTAAGACAAAAAGAAAATAGCAAGATTTTTCGACACTTGCATATCGACATACTTTCTTCACTACACGGAAAAAAAGTTCTTCGGTTGTTGTAACTAAATTGGTGTTCAGTCACAACGACTAGACGTTTCGACGTGATGGCTGAGCTTTTAAAGTCCAAACGTCTAAACTTTAGACGTTCCATCCAAACGTATCGGATCATACGTACAATAGAACGTCCTATGGTTCAGGAGGCACTGGAGCACCATTTTAGTTGCAACTTTTTCGGTCGTGGTGAACAAACACACTTGTCTCGGAGTAAATTAAGAAACGTATATAAGGTTACTCACCGACGCTGTGCAGCGCCGTGGGCGGCAAGGTGCTTATCTTGGCCGGGCCCAGCGGGCAGCGCTCCCGGTAGGCGGGGCGGCACGCGGCGTGCACGCACGCGCGGCACCACAGGCAGCGCCAGTCCAGCAGGCGCAGCACCGACCCGCACGTCTTGTCGCAGACGGTGCACTTGGCGGACACGGGCAGGTTGCCCTCCACCCACTGGTGGGGCATGACGATGTTCTGCGGCGGGAGGAGGAGGAGGCAGACGTCAGCGACACACAGCAGAGAGCGGGGCACGCGGAGATTGATGGCTTTTCGATATGGACTGGGATTCAGATTCAGATTCAGATTCGCACCAGCAAGCAGAAGATCGCGGCGCCGCAGAGTTGCGAGGAAAATTATTCCCCGAGAGACCCGAGGGAGAAGACACACACTGAGGGAGGGAGG